CCGGAGATAGGTGGTTCTTACCTACCGCGGTAGACCGGGTGCCAGACCGCCAGGCGACCCGATAGTTAACGATCAGTCCACACGACGTCGCTCCGATGACGTAAGGGCGTATCTCAATTTCCACGTGAGCCATGTTCTCCGTATAACTCTATGCTTTCGGGGCTCAGGTATAAATAGAGATAAGTCCTTACGTCAAGGGAGCGACGACGAGACCGCACCGACAGTTGGACCGCGTTAAGCGAAAAGGAACCAAGCCACATCAGCTATTGGCACGTTATCGTAGAACATGAATCGATAAATCCTGGTCTTAGTTGCACGATTTATTGATCAAGCCATTCGGTAACGATCTGATAACGATTCAATAATCCTTACGCTAAGGCAACACTTCAGATTACTGCTTTTTCTATAACCGGAAAGTTGGAATTTATGCATAAAAAACGTTTATACTTAGATTAGGGGTTACTTTCAGTTTCCGTAGTACACTTCGTATGTTACGCAAAATTTAGATGATAAATGTATCATAATGGATAAATCTGCACCTTGTCTAGCGGTCTGTTAATCGTCAATGTACATGGGATCAGACTCAATGGACGTATTATCCCCACAGCATATGTTCTTTTCTAAGTTGATATTGGACTCTTTACGCTTGTCACTCCCTACAATTAAAAGCGAAGAATGACTGCCCGGGTGAATGAACAAACGCGCAGGATAAGAAAAAACGACACTTTTTTTTATAAATAAGACAGCAAAAGAGAGAAATCATTTAACGCTAGAATCTGTCTCTCATTGCAGCTTTGGTTAGGAATACCATCTCTTTCGTGACGTCTGACAAAAGAGCGTAACTGAATTTGTAGATGAGTCCCGTCGTATTTGTTTCTCTGGGTCGCTCAGGGCTCTTGAAGGATGCAACGTATTTTCATGACATCCAATTGAGAGTATTCTCGGTTTATTTTCTGCTTGTTTTTTTTCGCGGAAAAAAATACGCACATGGTGAAACTTCCGAACTGGTGTCGCGTCGCCTCGGCTCCTGCTTGTCGAGGGTCGACTAAAATAAGTCAAACTAAATGGTCCGCGAATTAATGAACGGAGTTATGATTCAGTCAATGACGGTACATCCTTTCTCGGGAATCAAAGTAATGATTCACCCACACGTGTTGAGCATTCCCCCAACGAGATGCGCTTAAATCTTTTCAAGCCCCGAGCAAGTGAAGATGTTCACTGTCTTAGTTCTAGAATTTAAACTGAATAGAATCAAAAACATGGCATCTCCTGGTCAAAACATCTGAAGAAAATGAACCAGAGCTAAACGGAATTTAGCTACATATATCTCCTCATTGTTCCTGCTTGAAGAACACTACGTCAAAGCATTGTACATCCGGTAAAATCTTGCACTTTATCCTCACAAGAGTAGTTTGGAGAGATGAAACATTAATTCAATTTTTCTTCTTCCAAGGCACTTTTCTTCTACGTCGTTTCTCTGGGCGATGATTGCCATTAGTTAATTTTCAAGATTTTTCTGATCGTTGAATCTACTGCACATCCGAAACTTACTTTACAAAGACTAGGCTGACAATATGATGACTAAAGCCCCTTGACGCAACTGTTCGTACTCCACAGATGTGCTTGTCGCACGTTTAATATTGTAGGCACTTACGCTTTTCGCACCTCTCCAGAAACGCACAGGAGTTTTCGTTAGTTATGGCACACTTATAACTCGCCTTCGGGTCATGACCTGTTTATCATAATTCCACTTTGTCCAAACTAAACAAATTACCTTTTTTGTTCCCCCCCCCCCAAAAAAAAAACTTATAACTCAGTTCATGTGTCGTCGTCGAGCTTTCTGAGCGGCGAAAGTCTAAGGGATCTGTTAGTACCGAGCGCAAAAACTTAAATCTTTGCACACATTCCAGTGTTTTTCCCTGATCGTGTTTCTTGCGATGATTTTATGCCACGCAAATCTGACTATTTCACCGCATTTTCCTCGCTACGATAACTGCCACCAGAATCCCCTCCTGCATTTTGCATCGGTTACACATAGTCCACTGCGAACTTTTGAACTTGACGTTCCAAAGTCGGAAGATGAGACCGAAAGGCGCGGGCTAAAGGCGACTCAGAGCCTCAGTTTACGGCCGATATTTTAGACTTACGATGACGTAAGGGGCTGTGCTGGGTGCTTCACAAAATTTACGACGCGGCGAGCGTTTGAAACGTTTGAAAGAGAGCGAGTCCCGCTTCATAGGTGCGCGGTCCCGCACCCACTCCGCCCAGGTAACAAAGACATTGCTCCATAAAGTCGGCCTGTGAAGATATCTGTGCGGCATCCCAGTGTCCTCGCCTCGAATGCCGCTGCTTCAGCGAGGGGATCGACAAATCAACCTCACTATTCTGCCGTACTAAGGAAAAACGCCGTATGAACTTTCAGGCGTTGCCAAAATTCCTTTGATAAAACACAAATTTCCTGGCAAACTTATGAATATTTTCCTTGCAATTTTTCAGATAATTTTGTTCACAATTTCAACTAGAATTCCTGAAAATTTCAAGGAAAAAAATTCATAAATTTCCTCAAAAATAAACATTTTATCGAAGGAAAGTTGGCAATTCTCGAATGTTCATACGGCGTTCTTCTTTAGCACGGCAGTATTAAAAACAGAGACAGAAAAGCTACCCTCGCTCACAAGCGATGCCGATGGCAAAATAAACACACAAATAAAATATTGATGGAATAAAGAAGGATAAGAAGTTACTATCAAAAATAAAGGAGACAAGTAATTCAGTAAAAAACTGAGAACATTTTAAAACTCACTAAAACACAAAGTGGCGTAGATGTAATTAAAAATTATTTTCTCCCTCTTTCTGAACAGTCCCTAACTTGCATGAAAAATGAGTGTTGTAATAGCTTTTCAGCAGTTGGGCGTTTTTTAGGATTTTTGGAAAATTGGAAAAATGGAGTCCGACATTCCACAAATTTCTGAAGACAGCTTTGACCAAAAATCCTAAAAAAAGTCCCTAACTTATTTCCTTACACAAATGAGGAGAGAAATTCTGACTCAATTTAAGAAAATTTTATCTTTCGACGTGGCCTATGAAATAGTTAACTCTACTAACCCTCTAGCCGACGACAGAACGTGCATTGTTTGGGTGGTCGAATTGTGAATTTCCTTCTAGATTCAAAACAAGGTTCCCTTGTTTTAATTCCCTTGATCAACGAAATCTAATTGAAAAAAGATATAACAGTCTTTTGGTTTATCCTTATTTATAAGATTAGATTCTACATTCAAAATACGTGGACAACACGCGGAGCTTTCCTTCATCAAAATTCCCCACTCCTTCTTAGTATGAGTAGAAATCATACATTGATACTTATATCACCTTATTTTACGATTCCAAGCCGTAGATATTAGACCGTAAAAAATTTCGTTCGCTTCATTTCGTCTTCCAACACAACTGGGCAACCACGACACCCGTTTAATTTTCATCATCATCATAATCATCACCATGTGCAGACTGCAATATTAAAACAAAGCATAAAGCAAGTCGGACTATAAGTTAGAGAGCTCTCCCCCCCCCCTTCAACCCCAGCTTTCGGANGGGGGGGGGGGGGGGGGGGGGTGGCGAAGACAATTGATCCACCGCAGGCGCGGGGCCCACGAAACTGTAACACACCGGCGGGGATTTTTACGGCCCGCGCTGCCGTAACTGTCCGTCAACGGACATTATTGCTAATTGATTCCCTGCTAAGTGTCAGCGAGGATGTGGACTGTCATTGCCGCCAATCATACACGGATACGGCCCCCCCTTCCCCTCCCCGCGTCGGGGTCCACTCATTAATCTCTTGCGCACTCGGTCTATCTTTCTTTTATTTCTTTCTTCCTCCTTGTTCCTCCGCTCTTAGGAGCTTCGTTGCAATATGCTGATTGCTCGTGCGTATTGCCATGTCTTGGACAATTTCATCCACGCGGCTTAAGTATTGCAGAGAAATCTTAAAACATGTCGGTGCCAAAAGAAATTTATTTTTATCTGTTCCTGATGGGATTACGTTAACCTCTAATGAAACTTCCCGGAAAACGGAACTTTTACAGTAATATACAAAAACTCGTTAAAAGCTGGGAAAACTAGAAAGGCCAGCTTGTGCTAGCATGAAATCGCGATGAATTTTGATTGTTTTCAGAAAAATCGCGGAAGACAGTTAACAAGGGACCGAAATAAGATCGTAACTTAAAAAATAATGGGAAAAAAGGGATTTTTAATATGGGAAGGCCAACCTGAAAAATTTGTCAGCTAAGATTTTTCGGCACCCCTGTTTAGTCAAGAATTACCGACCGCTCATAATCTGCAGGATAACTATCGCGCGTGAAATCGTGAATTGCATTGGGTAAATTTGGTGATTCTGTTTCGTTTAAATGTTGAGTAATAAAGAGAATGGATTTAGACAGTAGTGATACCGAAAATGTACCTCGTAAAGCAGTAAGTGCTTAAAAAAACCGGTGGTGCAATACGCAAAGAACAGAGGCAGCAACAAAAGAAGGAGCAACTGGCATATAATGCTGCTGCTGCAACAGCCAAGAGGAAACGGATTACTGAAAAACAGAAAAAGATTCTCGTAGAATACATGACATCTCATGACATTTTTGCTAAATGCGGTTTGCCCCCGGGGCCAAACGCAGTGATTCTTGGGATGAACTCGTCGGAATGCTGAATACCAACGGGCCACCAAGATCATGAAGAAATTATAGTTATGATATTAATAAGATGTGATTCGATTCAGAAATAAAATTTATTCAGTTTTACAGCACTGAGACGAACACGACGTTAAGCTATAGAGAAGGATCTGAATGGAAAAATTTTGACAGATTCCTTGATTGGAAAGTCCAAACTTCACATATTGTAATTTAATGCTTTTATAGGACGTATTGAGAGAGGGCGAAGAATAAGTTTCTTTGAGGTTATGTACAGCGTACTTTTCAATTTTTAACTGTAAAATATATTTTTGTTTGTTTCAGGAAAAAGCTTTAGCATTACAATTACGGTTGGCTCATGTCCACCACAAGTAGCAACTTACGTGAAAGCGATCAAGGTCACCGTTGATGGACCCAGAGAGCCACGATCAAAAACGCGTAAGTAAATTCTTCTTTCTCAAAACTTGTACTAGACCACGGTACTTCGACAAAAGTCTTCCATCAAAGAGAGCTGTTGATGCAAGTTCAAAGATTCTGGCAACTTGAATTTTTTTTTTTTTTTTGTTTGTTTTTTTTTTGCAAGAAATACACTTTTTATGAGCTTGGCGATATGATTTTGATGAAAAAGTAAGGAAACGTCGAAATATGGACCTCTCAGGGCCCAAAAGAACAGCCAACCTTTGAAAACGAAAAATGTCACTGCCAATCTTCAGCTTCCAATATCAAACCAATATCCATGAATGAGAGTTTTTCTGCAAAAATGAGTAAATTTATGCAGTAACAATATCGCATACGTGATTTACCAACGACGGATCGTAACAATTGTAATGATAAATCAAATACGTGATTTACCAACGACGGATCGTAACAATTGTAATGATAAATCAAATACGTGATTTACCAACGACGGATCGTAACAATTGTAATTATAAATCACTCAGGATGATTTGAGTTCATAGATTGGCTGCTCTTTTGGGCTCTAGGAGCTCCATACCTAACCTCAAAATTACCGACATGCCCATCTCTCACTATATTGGTACTTTAGGGCTAATGAGGAAACAATGCCATAATATGGACACATTCAAATTCTCTACCCGCAAAAGTGCCCAATCTAACGCGATCGAACGAAGCTTCGTTCACCCGAACACAGTTGCGTCCGATTTCGTTGCGAGCATTCGAAAAATTTTCACATACGACAATGTAACATCATCCAAATGACGCGCCTCCGGTTCAATGGACAGAACGGAACTACGTCAAAGGCTCTTTCACGGTCATCGTGAGCTCCTGCTCTTTTGTAAGCGCGTAGACGCGAACGAGTGGTGTGCACATGACGCATAGAAGTATCAACGTTTGAATGCTTGCGGTTTCAACCCCTTTCATCGTAATCACCTTTCCTAACTTTTTGTACCTTAATAACGGTAATTATTCCAATTTTTAAATATCATAATTGACTCTCGGCAACCGCAATTATTTTTTGTTACGGCCTGGCGCGGTGCGAGTCGTGCGAGGGGTCAACATGCCATTGGCCTTCCTCAATCTTCTTCCTCTACTTCCGCTTGTGCCAAAGGCTTGCAAATGACGGAAACTTTCCCCTTTTTTTCAGCTTGAGCCTCTTTCGTGGGTTTTGCACCTCGGCGTCGGTTTTTTAGCCCGGGGCGACCCCAGCAGAATCGAATCAGGCCAAGAGCAGGGGAACATAATGAGTCGGTATTAGATTTGGGCTTGACTGGACACAAAGTTTCCCCTGTCGAAAGTTTCGCGTCGAGAAAAAAATATTTTAATATTTTAAAAAACGTTAAACGTCATCCGCAACATGGAGTCTTTAAACGAACATAACTTCACATCTGTTTAACAAGGTTCAAACTTTGTACGACTTGGTTACTTTTTACAGGACTTGGTCTAGATCTCTGTAGAGTGCCTATACATATGAGACGGGGTATGGCCATTTCTGTGCCGGTTTTTCATAGGTTGCGAAAAAGTAGAAGAACACGATGTTTTTACGACCATAAATCAATATGGCTATTAGCAGCATGCAAAGTCTTCGCCAAATTGCAACCGCTGTCTCTATATCTGGGGTTCAAGACTTTAAAATGTGTTAATGTCGTCAAAAATGCACTACCCAGATATGTGCGTGCCGCGCTGTCAATGTCCTTTGTAACTTAAGATGCCATGACACCACTTCATGAACCAATAATTAAGATAGAAATTTTTAAAAACACTGTTTGGGTTGCAGTTAGACATTGGCCGACATGCCGCAGCTATCGTTCTCATTGGCTAGCTAAGGTCTTTTTTCATGCAATTTGGCCAATGTTGACTTTGCCTGGTCATTTAAGCGAATGTCGACTTTACCTGGTCACTGGTCATTGTCAACAATAGCTGATTTCGGTCATTTGCTATGACATATACATATACATATACATATGATAGAGGCAATTTCAATTTTCACCGTGTTTTTTAGGTGTTTTTCATTGGAATTCTAGTTTTTCGAATATAATCCAAACGTGTTCTCCAGGAGAACACGTGCCTGCTTTGCTGTCATCATCCGCCACCCCCATCCCGATGTCGCCTATTGGTCATCGGCGTCGGTCGTGGCCGGCGGGCGCAGGGGGGGCAAGCTCCGTGCGGGATTTACGCTTCGGCAAATTGCCTCCGCATTATCAACTCCGAGGTGGAAATTCCTCGGTCACCCACCTACCCCTCATTAGGTGGCCTCTGATTGGCTGATCTCCTCCCCTACATGCCTTGCAATTTTTGACAATTTTCGACCTGATTTGACCTCTGAACTACTGCAATCAGTCTCCGTCTGATCGTTCATCCCGAATCATCTTCCATCCCGGCTAATCGGACTCTGGATTGTTATCGAAAGTTCGCTGTTCGCGCTTCAGCTTCAAGTATTTACTTGCGCGTTACCTTCGGATTCGGATTTCAGATTACTGTGCGATCCTCGTTATTCCGTTGGTGATAGTGACTTTACAGTTTCGACTAATCGAATATCTCCTCATTTCGTGATGATTACTTTGTAAAAGAAGTCTAGTTTTGTCTTCTTGACGTGTTACCATCTTCGGACTTCCTCTGTCATGGTTCCAGTGCTTCAGTGCTAATGACTTTGTAGTGAATTTTTGATCCGGTTTTGTTTTTTTAAGATCCAACCTTATTGTTTTGTTTCTAATGAGTTCTCCTACATATCAAGTTCAAATGAATTTCCTTAAAAATCGATGAGAAGGCTTCGTGGTACTGTTAGCTCGGCCACTGATACAAAGAGTTGCAATATTCAAATTTAAAGGTACTTGTCACACATTGCTTTTGAAATAAAGTAGGCTGCAAAAAAAAATTACATGCTTGCACTTGAAATCCAGAGAAAAAATTAAAAAATAAATTGATATTATCATTTAGTTAAAATTTTCTTCCGATTTGAACTTCCCTAATTAATGATACTGTAAATCGGTGTCTTGTTTATTATTATTTAGTTACGACCGTAAGAGCAGCATGTAGCCTATCACCCCGTAGATCAATCGAGAAGCGGCACAGTTTTCCTGGACTAAAAAGATACGAATACCCATACTCAGTCTTGCACAGGTACTTTTGTAGTTTCCAGTTTTCCATTAAAAATAAAACGTAACACAAAAACTGCAACGTCCTGAATGTGAGTACGTGTTTCTCCGATTTCACAATCGTGATGCAGCATATACACGAGGGACGAGTGCACTGAGCGAACATACCTTCCGATTAGATTCGACTTTTCCGACAAGATCATTGAAACGTGTAATACATGCACATTGCACAAAGCAAGCTGCGTCAGGTGCTTCATATCATCAATCATCCCTTAAAATATGTGTATCAGCGTTTTCTAGTTCCTGACTTTTAAGCACAATAAAAGGGAGCCTGAAAAATTGCAATGCAGCTAGGATGTTGCCAATTAATTTTCATGATATAAATATCTGAAGGGCACCAATAATAACACTAATATCGATAACAAATGGCTCATTGCTATAATATCCATTAAAACAAAACAAGAATTAGCATGGGCTCAAATTAAATACCTTTAAAATAGTATAGTGAATTAAAAATTTCGAAAAAAGGAAGGAAATTTCTCACGTGATTATGAGTACCGTGCACGAACATATTGAATGCCATTTTTATGTTATTTCCGCAAAAAACAGGTTTCACCGGACTTCGTCGCCACTGGAGTGTTCGGTTGAGGCTCGAGTCATAACTTTGAGTTTACTTCATGTCTTTCAAAGTACCTCTGTTTCAAGGAATCAAGACGTCAAATTTTTCAAAAATTTAATTCACAGGTTATGCCCGGACACTTCAATTTCCTCTTTACTTTATCTCTCTATACTTCAATACTCACAAATTGAGTTTGTCATTTTTATACGGCTTCAAAGAAGAGGGGCAAATAGATTAGAACGTATTGTTAAAATGTGATGAAACTTCGAGGCGTTGATCAATATTTGATTCCGCGTAATTTCCCCACTCTGTACCACATAGCTTGCGGTGTTCGGGTAAAATGAAAAAAATTCGATTCAATAATTATAATGATAATAATTATTATTATTCATACCCACTCATTAAAACTGACATAAAGCAGTAAGAGACTTAGAGGTGAAACAAGGATTACTGAGTGAAAAGCAACACTTTATATCTGGACTTTTCCCCCCAAATCGCCTAATTATTATACTTAAATTAAATATTTAAAATACGATATTGCGAATATGCGAATTCGGTATCCAGTATACATTGCCTTCTCTCACTCATGAATGGCGGCTCACGTATTTTTAGAGGGGTAATGGATAAATATAACATTCACGAGGGTGTTGATCACATGTAATCGACGGTAAAATCGACAAGTAAATTTTTACCTGCTCTCAATGAAAATAATGCAACCCGTCACTTATGATTGTAGCATTGTGTTGGATTAGGTTACGACTTGTCAAATATTGCGCCCAATTACTTAATTTTAACTATTCAGCCTCCAATTAAAAATAGTCAATTTAAGCTAATGGTTGTAAGTACAGGTATCCAAAATTTAGAGAATCAAAATATAACATGAACTTGTCGGTAAAATCAACATATAGATTACCTCTCAATGAAGATAATGCAAACGTCACTTATGATTGTAGCATTTTATTGGATTAGGTTGAGACTAGTCAAATATTGGATCCAATTACTTAATTTAAAGAAAAGTACTGCGTAGCATAAATTAAAATAAACACATACTAAAGGCCTCAAGGCTACAGTACTATATTTTGCTTCAATTCGTAATAGTCCGATTATTTTCTTAGTTAGAAATATAGCTGTAATTAGGCCGTGATTAAGCTCGACACCTAGGTTTTTACTTGTTTAAAAAACAACGCTCTCATTACCGACGACCATGGCAGCATTTAGAATAGACCCTCGTATTTAATATTGGAATGCCTCCTAGAATTTTGAAGAAC